CTATCCACATAGCAACATGACATCTTAAATTGATATTCGGATATCTTAAACTGAAGAGGTTATAATGCACTGAGTTTTCCCTTAGGACTTCTGCTGGACCCCCAAGTTCCTAGGGTCTTCATGCTCTTGAGGACTGGCAGAGGATAGAAATTACAATGAAAATTATNNNTTATTCCCACAGTGTCATTTGGTATCCAACTCCATCTGAGCTCTCCATTTTTGCTGTCTAACGTTCCTGGTCTGCGATTAGATTACCCGTCGCATCCGGCAAGAATACATCGGAATCCTGTGTACCGCATGCACATGTCTTTTTGTAGTTTTGCGAGCGAAACTCGATGAGATGTACAATTTGTTAGGCTTTGGTTAAGCTGAGTAGACTGAAAACCCATTTTCTTGTTGACGCCTTACTTCCCGAATCTGTCTTGAACTACGGACGCCTTTCTGCTCACTGTGTATATACATCGAAGAGGTAAGAGTACGAGATACTCATTTGTTAGACAGCTAAAAGATAGATCTTCATTAGTTCCTCATGTTCGACTATGGGAAAACGAACCGTACACTTGCAAACCGAGAATGAGCATTCACATAGTTTCTGGGTGTGAGAGAGAGGGATCGCAGTAGTTTTCAGTGTATATTTCAAGATGTGCTCGTGAATACGACGGAACAGGCGGGTGCCCCGCTCATGCCAGATTGTGAGGTTTTCAAGCATTCTCCGGCACAGAATTGTTCTCCTACCCATCAGACCATAGGGATAGTTTATTTCGAACATCCCGGTCTGATCTAAGTAAGCATGCGTGTGGACAACACAAGGTGTGTCCCATTCGTTAATCAGTCAGAACTGTTGGTATCAACTGCTGTTATTGACAAACACTGTTGTTGGTGTTGTTGATTATCGATACAGGGTGCGATGAATTCCTAATAAACCACTTCGAAATGTCTCCATACCGTTCCCAGGGCATTCACTGTTTTAGTTCTGGGTGTAAAGCTTTTAGATTCTACATTTTTATACTGTAAATGAAAGTTTATACTGCTAAAATTCAATTTGAATTTAATTTCGAGTAGGGATAAGAGAGTCTGCAATAATTGTGAATTCATTAATTGGTCTGATATTTTTATCTTTCTGTCTGCATCCTACCCGTTTCCCAACTCATTCAGGTATGTCCGATGGTAATTCTGCTGACCCGTCTGTCTATAATCACCTTGTACACGGATCTCAAAACTGTCTGGTTCAGCGGTCGACGGGAAAATCGATGTTGGTCGGATGTCAACGACATGATGGGTCACCGTATTTTGCAGCACAGACGAACAACGAATCGAAAATGGCCCACATGAACGGATTCTGTGCCGGGGTCAATGGGACCGGGGTGCCAAAAATGCCAACTCCATCAGGTTCACCTGTAAACTGTGATAACAAGTCGAAAAAAGCACGACACAGGTATATTTATGCCAAGGTTCAGTCATGGATGTCACTCCATCTGTCCCTTTGTTTTTACAGTGTTTACAGTGTGTACGATTTGTGTGATTTTGATCCGGGATCCCACCTATCTGGTTTTATTTACTGTATGTTACCTTACTACGGTTGGCTCCTTGGGAAGGATAAACCGGCTTCATAAATATCTCTGATCACCACCGTAGAAGACATGATCATGAAGTTCCCTGGGAGTTTGGTACGAGACACGTCCCCGGCGTCACTCAATGTATTTTATTTTGAGGATACACCTCTAGCCTTTGCGCAACCAATTGCGAACTACACAAGGCAGCAGGAAGTAATCCCTCGACTCGGAAGTGCGAGTGGGAGTCAATGACTTTAGTTTTAAAATGCCACTTACATCAACCTTTGTCACGACACCATCATTGGTCTTAGACTGCTTTCAAACAGGAGCCAGGTGACCAACCTGAAAACCACCACACCCTGGTAGTGCCACCGCTGCCTGTTCGCGACTGCTTATTTGTTGCGGTATGCCACGAGGTATTCGCAGATAATCTTCTTCGGTGAAGGTACCCCCTATCCACTACCAGGGGACGCGCTTCGTGGCGGTCAGCCCTGCTTAACCCCTAGGGTATCCAGGCTATCTGGTTTTGTATAGAACGAATTACAGACTGAGTTTTGTATGCACCCACATTCTCTCGCACACACAGGTTTTCCACAGGCACGTTATCATTTCGAATACTTTAATGGAAATGCATTCCACTGATTCCATGTGTGATGATTAGCGTTCCTTTGTATACTTCAAAATTGACAAGAAGAAAGTTGCCATTATTGCTATGTGGAGAGTATCAAGATTGGATTAGCCCATTCGATTGTTCAGAGGCACCAGGTACTCTTGATGGTCTTGCGTGCGGATTTCACTCCTTGGGAGATCGTTGATTCCCCACGAGACAATGCATTCAAATGCGATGGAAATGTTTGTGATAACCAGCAAAGCGCAACGGACAACTGTTTCGTCCTGTTTGGGACTCGTCAGTAGTGCTTACTTTTTTTGTGTTCCTGTCGCGATCAGTCGGGTCGGGACTTCAAACCCTTATCCCTGAGCTACACGGCCGATGATCATCACCTTGTGCGAATGGCTCAGTCAATTTAGAGTATCAAGCTATGTAGTTTGTTACGAATTCATACCCTTTATCTATCGTCTTTAGGAATCGGGCCGTTTATCGCTAGAATGGAACCCATTGGCCTATCTTACCTAACAGGAGGGGGATGTGTTGGGACCAAACAGTTGCGATCAGTTCAGTGACAGTAAAGGAACGGGAGAGGGACAAATAATACACAAATTTCTTGTTGTCAATTTCGAATTGCAACTGATTTTGTCGTGACAGTGAAGGTGCTACAATTCAAACAGCAATCCGAAAGCATTAAAAACATTGCAATGCAAGATAAAGTTTGGAATAGACAGACCCTCCGCAATCATCGCTATCCATATGAAAGTGGGATACTGGAAAATGGGATGTATTTCTTGATGAAAGATTATTTAGCACAAGTTCGATTCAAACCTGCACTTACTTCACCCACTCCAATCGAAGTTCAAGTGTTTTGTCTCAGACACAACGGTTCTTTGAACCGTTACTCATTACGGAGCCTACCCCGATAAAGAATAGATTGAATGAATTTTCTCAAGTCTCAATGACTGGGGTCCACAATGTTTACAATTGATTTGAAACCATAGCATATCACCTGAAAATGAAACATTGTGATATCTCGCGAATTTTCTGATTAAAACGCCCACGATGATCATGATCAGTTTTACCTCACGTCTGTTCGCTTTCCATTCACGACAGCTAAGATCTCCAAAATCGAACTATTCTCACGCAGTAGGCGAGCGTTCTTTCTCTTCCAATGTGAGCACAAATGCTCGCGTAGTCCATCACAACACAATACCATCACGTATACAAACTTGTGGTGTGATCCTTATAGATGAATGACTGCGCATGAGTAATTCGGTCACTATTCCCCGATAAAATATTCCCAAACTGTGAAGGTAGTGAGTACTGGTATACGTGTCATACTTTCCAGTTGAGTGAAGATTGACAGACGTGTATTATTCGATAGGTATTTGTTCACTTTTGTTTGATTAAATCCCGAAAATAAGTGCATATTATACCTGGATGAATTAGCTCTACAAAAACAGACCATTGGGTTTGCAATAGACATCCTATACACAGTACTGGTAAACTATTCCACCCGTGTGAGTTCTTTATTGTCGATTGCAAGTTCCGGAATGGAATCAGTCACGTGGTCCGAGAATGAGCTGACTTGGCTTACCACTGTTCACATCACTCGGTAGAAATATGAAAATATACGTGCAACTGTGTATTCAAATTTTACTAATTCTCCTTTCTCCTTGTACCCCCGCGTTTCTCTCTCCCCGCTTGCCCGGAATAGGACAACATTCTCAGTACATCAGCTCTCGGTTCTGGAGGCCGCATTCGACAACTGTCCATATCCGGATGCTGTTACAAGGGAAGATATAGCCAGCAAATTGGCTCTCAGTGAATCTAGAGTACAAGTATGGTTTCAGAACCGTCGCGCCAAATGGCGTAAACAGGAGTGCGGACAAATACTGACAAATCATACCGTGTCCAGCTACGCCAATTCGGGCACTTCAACCGGAGCCGACGGGGAAATGGATGACCCTACCCAAACCGAATCCGGATCCACTTTGCACCCCCGTAAACGGACTTCATCTAGCCAGGCGATGGAAATCTCACCGGGCATGTATAGCATGCCATTCTCGATCGGAAAACGGTTTGGAACACACGTGACCGTCAATGGTGTCTCCCAAAATTCTACCAACGGAGATTTTTCACCTCTTTCACTCACAATAAACAAATCTAGTTCATTTGCATCCCAGTCTATGCGTGAGTCTGCACCAGGCTTACTCAATTCTGGATCCATGGAATCGGTTTTCCCCCCGGCAAAGAAATGTCCGACAGGCATGCGCATGAACGGTTCTGACACACATTCGACCGCTTTCAAAACATTGTACACCGATAACGGTCAGCCCGCCACCACGAACGATCTTCCCTTTTCCGTTTCCTCATTGACCAAAACCCCTTCGTCATCGTCATCATCCTCATCCTCATCTCGAGCAGAAAGGTCATCCGTAGAATCCTCCGATGGATTCGCATTACAAACACCTCCTGCCGATTCAGTTCTGCCGTTTGCATCGTTCTCCAATTCTTGTTCTTCCGTATCCTGCAGTACTGGTAACACTGTCAGCACAATCACACGATCAGACACGGACACCCCGTCAGCATCCTCGGTACCGATGCAAACGGACAACTTGCCGAGTCCATTTAAATCTAATCCCAATCACCAATCACTCCCATCCGTGATCCAAGCATTATGTGATTTTTCCGTGAACAATGGGATTCCTCCGGGAGCGGTATCTTTGTTCCTTGACTATTTGGAAAATTTGCGTCAACGTATTTCGTCCAAAGAGGATAGCCAAGATCCAAACCAGATCGGCCAATCTGAGGAGCAGTCCACGATGTGGGACACGCTACTTTTCAACTCCCAACAACCAAACAATCCTGTCACTCAACCATCAATTCTTAATCAGTCCCCACTGTCCATGACAACCGCGATGACCACCATGTCAACAACCAGTGATTGTACTCTGTCCACCACACCGACATCAAGTGAGTTGCATTTTCCAGAGTTCCCAGAAATTTTATAGCAATCTGGAGTTGTTTTATTACACCCATGCTGTAATAGATTGAACATCTACTTAGTAGATGATTCATTCTCTGCGAGAGTATAGTTACGCTGAATATGACTACATCAGGTCTATGTCACGAGTGTATTCAACTCGTGACTGGCTTAGTCACACACGGATTTTACTGAAGACACGGATAACCTCATTCGACAGGTAGCCTGTCTTCACCGTGAGCCGTCTGTTTGCTGCAGCAGGGAGCTAGCTAATTCATTCCCGGTTTCTTCCGCATTTCCGCATAGACAACTATGTACTGCTTGAATGGGGCTACCAAACCGGTGTGTGTGTGTGTGCATGGATATGTGATTACCCGCTTACGTAACGATGGCAAGTCCTCACAAACGATGAAGATTATGTTCGTTGTTTGTTTTGGATTTTACGAGGGGAGAACGGTCTATGAATCCAACCAGAAAGATCACAGTCCAGTAATGCACAAGAACTGGATGGAATATATGTTTAGTTTTTGATCGATTATAGAGAATAGATAGATTTACGCACTGCTGATGAGGTGTTCCAGTGAGGAGGAACTAGTCGCCCAGTGCTCTTCGTCGAACGTTAGAAACACAAATAAACATGCTGATTCTTTATTGACGCAATCAGATAATAAATTCGTAAATACAGGCGAGGAAAGATTGTGCCGACTGGAAACTAATCAAAGCCAACTAGTTATCTAATCATCTAGTCCAAAAAGAAAATACAAGTTCGGACGAATTGCCGTCTGTCGCATTTTGAAACATTCGCTTGTATCACACGAATAAACATAATTTGCTAGCATTGTCTCTCTTCCCGTGATTTCAGGTGCGTTGTGAATGAAACCTCTACTCGTAGTTAACATTTGGCTGACATGACCGGTAACGCTCAATTCAGAATTGCAATTGATTGTATTCGCAAAAGAAAGGATATTCTTTTAGTGGGCAGTTAATCGTATCCCGAATGCATCATATGGATGATTACAGTAAAGTCTAAAAGTGAATTCAATAAATTGATTCAACTTTTTAGTTCTTGCAGATCAGTTCCCAATCGTACGCTGCCTATGAACAAATCGAAATTGCCCTTCCCTTCGAATGCATAAAAAGTAGCATACAAAACCAGACTACTATGAAAAATCAAGTAGTAACATTGAAAAGCAAAAATAATAATAATAATAGAGACACTCCAAATCTACCAATCCCGAACCCAATATCCGTTGCCTATTTTTTTCGAGCAGAAGCTTACATTCTGCCCCTTCACTGTGCTTATTATTGTTTATTCACTATTTTTCCGA